AACGTGCTAGGCTGAATCCGATTACGAAATATTGTGAGATGAGAGACATTTGTGGTGATTAGTCATAATAGATTTGTAGAGTGTAGGGTAGGAAAAGGTGTCAGGTGAGTGGTTAGTACAAAGTGGTCTGTGTTAAACAGGAGATAGTAAGACTGCAATGAGAGGTTCATAATGAAATAACGAATTTGTGAAATGAAACAGGTGGAGGCATATATCGAGAAAAGAGATAATATTCATTATAATGAAGGTTTTTGTATTTCCCAATGAATGAAAAACAAAACAATATTGTCTTTACTGACGTTTCGCTATTTAATGCTGCTAATAGCTTCATCAAAGTATTATGAAACCGGAATTTACAAAATCTCAGCACATATATAACAAAGGTTTAAGGGGTGAGAAAACAGACTTAGGTCAAGTTAAAGGGACATATTGAAAGTCAAAATAACAATGAAGATCACTAAACCAAATAACAAAGGTAATAGTACGTGTGTTATGATATCAAAACAAAGTTTACCAACTTGATCATCGTTCGTCAGTCTGTGGTCATTTTTCGTTATCAAGTTGGTCAATTGGTAAAGATAACAAAATCAAGTGTAGATTGTTGGATTTGATCAGTGTGTAAAATTATAAAAGCAGTATGTGTTTACATAGTGAATTTGTATATATATGTCCTTTTAACTTGACCAAAGTCTATTTTCTCACCCCTTAAATCTTTGTTATATATATGCTAAGATTTTGTAAATTCCTGTTTAATATTTCTATGATAAGGTGCGTCAGTGGTATAGCCGTTAGGACGCTCGCCGACCATGCACACGGTCCAGGGTTCGATCCCCGGCCGACTCACTCCTTTACCTCGCTGAGCCAGAAATCCTGCAAAAATTAAACACTGCTATAGAAACTTCAAGCCTCTAGTTTGAAGCCCTATGTTCTGCTGGGGAACGTGAAGGAAAAAATACTTTGATAAAGCTATTAGCAGCATTAAATAGCGAAACGTCAGTAAAAACATTATCGTTTTGTTTTTCATTCATCGGGAAATGCAAAAACTTCTATTATAATAAATATCATGTATCCAATGCCCAAATTTTTTTCAAACTGTTAAAAGTGAACTTGGTTTGGACATATATGAAGGGATAATATCACTAATAATGAGTCCGGATAGTATAAATGAAAAATTCGATAGTATTGAGAGAATGTTTGCATGAATGGCATAAATTATGACGAATAATAATATTAATAATAATGATAATAATAATATTTGTCTCCCGTTTTACAATATTTTGTAATCGAATTCAGCCTAGCACGTTTGTCACACAAATACGACTATTTATTTTGACACCCCATAACCGCTAATCTGTTATTCTACGTTAAAAATGTATCTGCCGCATCACTAACCGACGACTTGAACTGCCGCACATATGTGCAAGGTTCTATGTCGGAAACCGACCGACCAATTACTGTAACGACAACAAATATTATATTTTATAATTGTAAGAACCTGAAGAGAAATTACTGAAAAGAATATTCTTCGTTTAGATTGACTTTCAATCAGGTATTGGTCAAATTTGTCCTCGAAAAATGTATTACGTAATGTAAGGTGTAGTCTAGAGAAGGTGTGACTAACTGGAAATTAGAAAAAAGTGGGCAGGAGTTGGCATGGCGTAATAATTGTGAAAAAATGACTAATCAGTAGCAGTACGACTGTGTAGAGAATGGACAGGGACTAGTAGAAAGACGACAAGCCAGTCTCTAATCCACCATATACACCAGGACTGATTTGACAATAGTGTTGAAAATTCGAATCTTGTTCTTCATGCTGTGATTACGGCAGATATTATCACACCGATTTCAGATTAATGAATGCCCGTCTTGCATTGACAATCTTCATCCTTTCGGCTTGTGCTTGTGAGAAGATGTTACACTCAAATTTCTTACTTTGATATATAGTTGAAATAGTCTTAGTTTTTACAACTTACATGGTTTTTAAGTTTGTGCAACTCCATAATTTTTATCTGCACAAAGATAGTAGGACGAAATATCCCCGAATAAGTGGTTCTAAAGAAAAAACTATATACTATCTTCACTTAACAAAATAAGCCCATATTGAGTCATAAGAAAATTATATCCGGTTAGGGAATTGAATCATAGGTGAAAATGCATAAAATAATAATAATAGTAGTATGAAATGCAATTAAAACTGAAATGTTTGTGATTATAATCATGGTTAAATGTCAAGTGGCAAGGCAAATTAATGTCATATATAGAATAATTCAACTCTATGTGTGTTTATGAATTCACCTGCTCATGTGGAGCTAGGTATATCGGTCGTTCGACTCGAGTTTTGTCCAAGAGGGTGCAAGAACACTATCCTGCATGGTTAGGAAGAGGTGGAAGTGGAGCAATAAGAAGCGCGATCATTGAACATCTGGTTGATAATGATCACCCTATCTCTATAGCCTCCGCCTTTAAAGTCATCTACAAGGCAAAAAGTAATTTACCCAAATCACTACGTACCCGACTCATCTGTATTGCTGAAGCTTTGGCTATCGAAACAGAAAAGCCAGATCTCTGTGTACAGAAAAAGTTCGTTCAACCCCTCCAACTTTCATGGTCTTAATCCCTCTATGCTAAAGTATGGTAATCCCCAATCATATTTTGGCTCTACCAATTTTTCATTTTGTCTATTCAATTTGTATTCTCTTCCTTTATTACGTCAATTGTTACTATTACTATTCTCACTTTGAACTGTCCCCGGTATTATTTCACTTGTCATTCTAAATCAATTCTCTTTTTTTACAACGTTAAATTCTATGCTATCAAATTTCACACAATATTACGTAACGTTTTTATTTTATTCGATTTGTCTACTAATCCTATAATTGCTCACCCTTTTCAAGTTCTATCCATCCTATGAATTATTCTATATATGACATTAATTGTTTTGCCACTTGACATTTAACTATGATTATAATCACAAACATTTTAGTTTTAATTGCATTTCATACTACTATTATTATTACTTTATGCATTCACACCTATGATTCAATTCCCTCACAGGATATAACTTCTTAAAAACCACATAAACACGACTGTACAGCTTGATGATAAATTCGTTGAAAAGAGTGTTTTCGCTGAATCACCACTTGTTTTGATTTTCATAAGAAAAGGACGTAAACAGCGAAGGAAATTTTCTTCTCAACGATTCATTTTCCTAAGCTGTACAATTGTAATTATTTGTATTAAATGGTTGGAGGCAATCGGCAGGAAGCCTTGCTTGACCTAGGTTTCGTGCTAGTTGGCACTCACCGGTCAGCAAGGCGTATCTGTAACCTTGATAGAATTCATGTCCCTTCTGAGATTTGAATCCGCGTCACCCAGTGAGTGTCGCAGTCAGACACATTACCACTGAGCTATTCAGGCCCGCGATTGACCTCCTGTAGGGGACTGTATTGGATATCCAATACAGTCTAATTGAAAGTTTGGAAAGAGGCAGAAGTTGGCATGACGTGATTGATTAGTGTGAAAAAAATGACTAATCAGTAGTATAGTTGTGTGTAGAGTGGACAAGAACTAATGGAAAAACGATAAAGTATTTTTTAATATAAAATCTGTATGAAAACGCAATGGTATTTATGAACAGTAGTAGAGTGATAACGAAATATGTATGATGGGAATAACAATGATAATAAAACAACAATTATAACAGTAAATTTACATGATAAAAAAGGAAGAAAAATTATAGTAAGGACGCTACTCTCTGGCCACAGTAGGGCCAGGGGAATGTATGTGGTGCTTTTGAATGTAGAGGTCCGGCTTTAGATCCCAAATAGCCAATGATTCAGTTATGTACAGATCGAACTACTTGCATACGATATTGAGGAACTCTGTGTGTGTTCGATGTTCAGAGTTGTTGGCAAGGTGTTCGAGGATGGAGCTGTGTTACTACTCTTCTTTCCTCCTCTGGTCAACCAAGCTGGACAATGTTGCAGAATACAAAGGGAAATTTTCTTTGCTGTTTACATCTTTCTTTCTTTTTTAAATATACTATCTACTACTGATTGACTCATTGAAATTACTTTAATTTCTTGTTAACCCTTTTTTAGATTATTTGCAGTCAAAGTTGTAACAAATCTTACACTGATGTCTATGGCTTACTCCCATGTACGTGAGTACATAAACACTGCCAGTGCTTGTCAAACCGAAGAGAACTATTGTTCATCAAATAATGATAACAGAACAGAAAAACCTGTAGCTGATATTCATACAACAACTTCCGTAAAGAACAGTAAACAAGACCAAGAAACTAATGAAACCGGGAAAGAACGTAAAGTGTCTTTAAGAAAGCCTCCTTTCGGCTATAATGGTTACGACCAACCAACCAGGGATGATGAATACTTTCTGCCGATGGGTCTTAGACACAGACGAATTCGTAGTGATTCTGGTCCAGTGGATGTTATGACCAGTGTTGATGCAGTTCATCATTCATATACTTCAGAACATTCATCAGAATATGTTGGAAGTAGTAAACTTGTCATGTCAAGTCCAATATCCACTGGCCTTATTGCTAATGAATTGGTTGAGCCGTACTATTCAATTATGGCATCGTCAAATGGTACTCCAAAAAGTCTATACGATTTTAATGAGTTAACTCCATTGAGTAAGTCAGTAAACACTTTTTTTTTGTTTGTTTCACCAATGTAGTATGTGCGTCGGTGGCATAGCGGTTAGGACGCTCGCCGACCATGCATATGGTCCGGGGTTCGATCCCCGGCCACAGACGCACTCCTTTACCTCGCTAAGCCAGAAATAATGCTAGTGAAGAGGAAAGGTTGGGCATGAGGCTAGCAACCCCATCCTGTAAAATAAACACTGCCACAGAAACTTCAAGCCACTAGCTTGAAGCCCTATGTTCCACTGAGGAACGTGAAGGAAAAAAATGTAGTATGTACACACTTGATCAGTGTTTAATCACCTTTCTTTTTCCGTATTATTTTGTATTTTAGCACCTATAATGCCTATGGACTCAGTACATCGATTATTAACTCCTGGAAATATGAAGTCAGACATGGAATGTGATCGTAATTCTTATGAATCATCAGCTTTGTTTCAAATAGAAGACAGATCTCCTTTTCCTGCGTATACAAATCCGCCAGCTACACCATCACATCATGAGAGACATCGAATAATGCATAGTAGATATGATCTATCGAATATCCTGTGTACTGAGACACACGGCGATAAAGACGATGCTTTCACAACAATACTAAAACCTCAAAGTGTATCTTCCCTAATAAGACCGAGGTATTACAGCATTGATCTAGGCATCCTGAGCAATTTCATGAAATTTATGGAAAGCAGTACACGGGTTACTACGAATGAAATACCAAGTAGCAAAGATAATGCCCAACAAGACGAATCAAGAGTTACATACCTGCCAGACCCTACACGTAAACGTCGAGTTCGTACAATGACTGAAGGTTCAGTCAATGCAACTTCACCTCCAGTAGATCCTACTATACCAATCCTTTGGGAAAGAAGCAGTCGAAATAGTACTGTCAATCAATTTGGTTTGGATCAGCTGAAACCGACAACTCCTGGACGAGTAAAACAACCATTATCTGATATTGACCGGTATTCCATGGTAGAAGGACAAATCAGCTAATTTTTTACGCTGTGATATGATGTTTATTTGTATTTATGTACAGTTTATAAATTGGGTAGAACTTAATCATTTTCTCTCTTTTTTTTCTTCTGGAGATGTTCGGTTGCCTTTCATCCGCTATTAGTGTGAACGATTATGATTGACTTTTAGAGGCGCATACGAGAAACCACGTAACAGGATGTAGTTTTATCTCATTATTACTGACTTACGGCTGGCTGTCTGTCTCAGGTGGAATTTTTGAGCGGAATATGTTGTGCATCTTTTGGTACCTCACACTGTTTGAACATAACACCACAATTCTAATTGTATGTTAAGTGTTTGTTCTAAGTCTGTAATGACTCCACCCATTCACGCGTCATCTTCTGTACTCAATTTATTTTCAAGTCAGTATTACCTCCTATTTACTACGCCTTAATCGGAATATATTTCCTTTAAATTACCAGCTTCCGATAGATAAAGGAAAATTTTTGATGTGGTTGTGTTCTCTGAGCTGGATAGTTAATTTGCGATTGTTTGAAACAATCAGTTCCAATACAAGTAGTCGCCTAGAAGGTGTGAAAACACAAAAACAACCATTCACGTCCAAGGTCACTGGGAGAGATGACTAATAAACTCGTGGAGAAATATAAAAGCTCACTTGAACAAATTGAAGTATACGCTGAAGATGTCGCCTAGTAGTAGGGCGATGAAAGCTTCGCAAATTAACTATCCAGCTCAGAGAACACAACCACATCAAAATCATCCACCTGAGCTACACATCTTCTCTATCATATCTAGATAAAGGAAAAGCTGTAAATAGGGAAAAAAAGTTTATTAGAAGTAAAAGTTAGAAATCAATACAACAAAGTACCTAATAACTTCAATAAATGTTTTACAAGATACATGTCAGTTATTTACAAGCGAGATAATATATATATCTAAGGATCATTGTGTAGGCTTCGGATTTGTTCGAATAGTTCCCAGTTCAATGAAATCATCAAGCAGCTCTCCAAAAGGTGGTTGGTTCGTTGAAGACTGTGTTCTTTCACTTGTGTTAGGCTGTTGAAATTAAAACAAGTTATTGTTTCAAGAGTTAAAATAAAGATAATGCTTACAAACGACTAATTTAGCTGCTGAACGCTTATGTGTTCGAAATGCAATAATGCGAAGTGAAACTCTTTCGTAAGATTGTCTGCAAGTGAGCTTTATAACCACAGGACAAGACTGAATGCACTACATTGGTTGGTTTATTGTAAAGCCTATGAAGGTGCGAGTAACTGTTTGTCATGTGTCCATCCTACTGTTTGTATGACGTGACGTCACATAAGATATAGTGTATATATGTATTCAAATTAGTTATCTACTGCAAATCTTTATTTTGTAGCATGCTTTCTTGAAAACGCTTGCAAAAGTCCACTCAAATTTCACTCACTATAAAAGGAGAAGTCCAAAATAACCGTAAACATTGGATGCTGCAGAAATAATGACGTGCTTTACATGTGTCCTAATTGTCAAATTTTGGTGACACTGCTATCGGGTATTTTTTGGGCGTCGAAACAATAGGAATCAAATGAGGTGGTGGTGGGGGGATTGCAATTTACACAGTTCTAGGTTGGATACCACTAAAGTATCATTTGGAAACTGGGATTGTTTAGATGATAATTAGTACGATGCATTGTATGATCCGGATTTTCAACTCCAATGTGAAGTCAATGCTACTTATTATAGGGATCAGAGACTTGGCGCGTCATAAAGAACATCTCAAACAAACTACAGACCTTCATTAACAGTTGTCTTCGCTCAATACTCAAGATCAGATGGCTGGCCAGAAAAGATCAGCAATACAGATCTCTGGGAGCGAACCAACCAGGAGCTGATTGTGAAACAAATGGGCAGGAAGAAATGGAGATGGATTGGCCATCCTCCGAGGAAACAAACCACCAAGTGACATCACTAGACAGGCCATTGCTCGAGTGGAACCCGAAAGGGAAGCGGCGAGTTGGTCGTCAGTGCAAGGGTGACTTGGAGGAGGTCATGTGAAGAGGAGATGAAAACGTGTGGGCAGACTTGGAGCCAGGTGAAGAATATAGCAGAGAACCGAACGCAATGGAGACGCACGGCTGAAGCCCTATGTTCGTCTAGGAATTACAGGAAACAATAATATAATATAATAATAAGCACCAGACAGTTGTTTCGTTCATTTGGGAACAAGCCCATCAGTGATGCATCTGGCTTGACTAGGCATAGGGAACCGAATCACCACTCGAATTCTGGCTAGCTACTTAGGGGCGGGGGCGGGTAACACATTGATTTAAATGCGTGATTTGCAATTTACACAGTTCGAAATGAAATTCCACCACAGTGATCTGCTCGATACTAGACTAACAGCAAGCACAGATACATGACGCTACATACTACTGATTGATTATTGTGAGTAGTTGGATACCACCACTCGTTGATGATACTTGCAAACAGTTTCCTGAATCACAGCCTGTAGTCATGTTTTCTGACTGCACATTTTTAGGTCAAAACACATAACCAAATATGATTTGTTAGGCCGAATGGACATAAGTATTCATATTGATCATAGTCGGACACGGTCCCTTTACCACTACACTCCGAATATATGTTGAATCACAAATCATAAAGTAATTGAGCAGAAAAATGTATATACAATACATCAAAACTATTTAACAAGACCGGGTTTGATTGCCGAGCAGTATATTACCTACAATCGATATGGTACTAGCGGTCGAGTTTCTATCGTGTTCAAACCAACTGTTAGTTTTGAAACACTACGAAGCATCACGGTACCTTTTTTTGAGATTTGTCTATGGTGAATGTCTGTGATAAGGTGACCGACGCAAAGCAGTCACCATCCGTTGACCTAATGCAATATATATGTATATATATATATATATTTCCAAGAAGGTATGCACGTTCACGTGCATCGGTGGCATAGCGGTTAGGACGCTCACCGACCATGCATATGGTCCGGGGTTTGATCCCCGGCCGACGCACTCCTTTATCTCACATACCTAAGCCAGAAATAATACTGGTGAAGAGGGAAGGTTGGGCATGAGGCTAGCAACCCCATCCTGTAAAACTAAACATTGCTACAGAAACTTCAAGACTCTAGCTTGAAGCCCTATGTTCCAATGGGGAACGTGAAGGAATTAAAAAAATGCACGTTCACATAACTTTTATTTCGCTCTTACATGCGTGGGAAGCACCTCAGTGGCATGAAACATTTTTTTTGAAATGTGTAGAATGGGGAAGATATTTCAAGCACTAGACTTAGTTACACATCGTCGGTATATGAGAGTTTGAATACACTGCTGTCTTTAATTCTCAAACTTATTTAAAAATAAAACCGAACAGTAGTCTTTCAACGAATACTTTGACGCATTATAATAAAGAAATACACAGCAAGTGAATTCCAATTTGGTGCATTTGATTGTGAATCTATGATATTTACGTCAGTCTATCCCCTTACTATATACAGTGGGTGATCTCTACCAGCATACTAATGGTTGAAACTCCATAACTATGATTGGACACTAGTTACTGACTAGTGTTATGTGTCTATTCCTTTCTTTGGTGCAGACTGAATTCTATCAGTCAGGTTTGCAATGCGGCCACTATTCTAGATAGCTCGCCATCACGGTGTACATTGATTTGATGATATTAGATAGTTGGAGGCAATCAGCAGGAATTCAGTCTGCACCAAAGAAAGGACTAGATGCATAACACTAGTTACTAGTGTCCAATCAAAGTATCCAATACAGCCAGTCCTACAGGAGGTCAATCGCGAGCCAGCTAATAGCTCAGTGGTAACGTCTCTGACTGCAACACTCACTGGGTGACGCGGGTTCGAATCTCAGAAGGGACATGAATTCCTTCGAGGTTGCAGATACACCTTGCTGTCTAGTGAGTGCCAACTAGCTCAAAATCTAGGTCCAAGGCTTCCTACCGATTGCATTTAACCACCTAATATCATCAACTCCATAAACTATGCCGGTAAACTGGAATTAAGGGAGTAAGCAATGTATTATTGTCATTATCATCAGTCTTTCGGAAACGATAACTTCAAGTTCATAGTCATATTCCAAACAAAGTATTTCAAAAGAAATAGCAATGAGTGATGTTGTTTATTTCGTCAAACTATAACCAGAAATCCTTACCTTATGTTTTTGACTCGTAACTTCTATATCCTGAAGTACAATATTATTGTTATTACTCTCAGAATAATATATAAGACAAAGGAAATTAGTCAGTGAGAGGATTAACACATCCATCCAAGATTTTGTAAAATACATAAAAAACTCAGGATGTGTTTTGGGATCCAACGTGTACGGTAGGGCTAGATTAAAATAAAATTCATTATCTCAACAATACATTACCACACCATGCCTGCCATTCTTCTCGCTCGAAAGAAAACTGTGACGAAAGTGATTCAAAGAATTCAATCATTTTTGCTTGACGTTTTTTCATTTTAGCCTGTATTAAATAGGTTCGAAAAACATGAACTTTCAGTTCATTGGCTGCGTTCTGTTTGTCATCTGCAAGTCTGTGAAATAATGTGTTTTCTAATAGATTCCATTGATTAATCAGTTGATTTAAATTTGAATCATAAATTGATTCTTGAATATGGTCAACAATATCAGAAGGGTGAAACTATAAATTAAATATAAAGGTGTTAGCAATGCAAAGATTACCACCTTTGCTTTACTTTTTTCATTAGAGCTTTCAGCTTCGAATGCGTTCAGTGAGTCTTTATAGTTCTTCGATAGTAAATAGTGTCGAACGAAACGATTATAAACACCATCCTGCATTGTGGCTCTATAAAAACAAAAGAATATTTCGGGGATTTAGAAGAGACTTTCGCTGTATCTGACAACTGTTTATGTGAAATAAATATGTGAAAAATAAAAGGAATAAATGTCTGTTAGTTTGTGAAAAGCAAATTCTGTCGATCGAATTTCCGAACAGAACTAATGAGTCAGGTGCACTCTGATTAGTGTTAGACAGCTGGGAGATAGGGAACTGCAGAACTTAGCATTCTGTGACGGTACAAAAACCATCAATATGTCAGCAACCTCGAAATACAGAAGTTGTGAGGTACATGCTCATACTGATGATGCAGATTCCACTGGAAACAACTTAATCAGCCACGCTATCGACCAGTGCAATCGATAAGTCAACTAGTTTAAGGTTACCGACTAAATAATCGGTCAGGTGCAACAAATGTAATCAATACCGTAGGTCACAACACTGCTCGTGTAATAACGATAGTAATAATAATAAGAGGTAACTGTATATCCATTACAAGAGGTTTGCGTAACACAGGATTATACATGTATGTATATATATTTATCATGTACAATTTATATCCCTTTTCACCACGTGTTTACTCGGTGATTAAGAAAACTACAGTCAGCATATCGAAATTTGATAGACACATCTGTGAAATTCATATAAGGCTTCTACTGGTTTTCTAAGACTAACCAAGGATGATATATTCACAGTCAAAGTCGACACAATTGTGTCATCTGCAGATTTACGGCAAATGGGGGATTCATGCATTCGAATTTCGTAACTGTGACGTAAAATCGTGAATTTTGAGCTGAGATTAAAGGAAAAACGCAAAATACAGCTTAACAGTCTACATATATTTAGCTGACTGAAACTGTACGATTAGTTCATTCTTCACCTGCCAATTAATAAAGCTACTCACTAATTTCAACTTAGAACTTTGCACAGATGTGCAGCAATTCGAGTTGCCACACTCCATGTAGCACACTAAACAAGACGAGAGATTCAAAACAGAGATAAAAAAAGGGAAATATGAGACAAAATGAATAGCAATATGAAAGGACAGTACAATTTTGCCCTATTCAGGAAGTAGTTACCTAGGGTTCTAGTGAGAAGTCGTGACCAGTAGGGTGCAGCAGGTCGCCGAAGACATTGACTATTGGTCGCGCTATGTAGTTAATTGGCAGAAGTTATAATTCATGGGCCATTGGGTCGGGTTCCAGTGGCTTAATGGTATACGAGCTCGCCTTGTAACCAGAATGTTCTGGGTTCGAACCCTGTCGGTGGGTGCGTACTGATGAAGAGATCCAAACTAGGGCGAAACAGATGTTCAGTACTCTCAGGTTTTCTAATGGTTTTCTAACCAATGTCAGCTCATGATGGAATCCTGTAACCAATCAATCAAATCCCTGCAAACCAACACTTGAACAGTACAATTTTATTGGATATTATAAATCGCAAAGAGAGAATGCATCTGTGCCATCACTGAAAACGAGAATTTTGAGCCACATCACCAATTGTCTCCGGCTATTGGGACGGTAAGAACCAATGGCTGGAGATAATAAAGCTACACACCCAACAAGGGAACCAAAAATATTTCAGTTTATCATAATAGGGAGCATTTTCGCAATTGTCAAACGCTATGCCTTTCTGATATGTATTCAGAAGCCTCAGAACGTCATTGCAAAACGTATATGGATCTCTATAGCTATAGCGATTCAACAACGTATTTACGAGACTTAGTTCATAAATTAAAGATGTTCACCAACTGAACGCAAACTGTGCTGGAAATACTCCCAGAAATGTGACTATCATAAAAATGCAGCTAAGTAATAAACTGATTTGAATAAAATCAGTTGGTAAATGATTTGTATTAGGAGAAAAATCTTAACTTATGAAACTACCTTAAAGAGGCTATCTGAAACATTTATTTACCTGAATATGTGCCGCAAGCCAAAAATATAATGTATGGCGAAGTGTCTGTAAAAACTGTGATTATAGGAATGTTTGAATTGCTAGCTCACTTACTGTATACCTAATGGTTATGCGACCTAGTATCTTATGACATACTTGGGTAGTTATAATAAGCCGTATTAGAATAAAAGAGGGATGTGACGTCATTTTCAGAACTACTACTTCATGCTTTCTCCAATTTGTCTGCTTTTATTATTATAACGCGGCATACGCGATTACAACATTTGGCGAGCTCAAGACAACTAACGCTGCTGTAATCTGTGTAAAAGGCAGATAAACGCAGTTATTTCACTACTTTATGTTACATCAGTTCTGGAGTCTTAAGGTGAAATATCTTGGCTGGAGACGGTAACAGAGTCCACAGCCAAATGGGATAGATATTACATATATATGAATATTACTGACTACTGACTTCTGGCCATTCGTCCTATGATAAATTAGTGTAAGTGCCGAAAAAACCATTAATCGGCAAGATAGAGAAATTCCGCTGTTATTCTGGAAGACAAACATCTTTAGGGTCAACAAAGTAGGAGACACATGCGAAACCTGAGAGTTCCCAAGTCTTTTTTGGCACATGTTGTCCTAGGTAGTTGCATCAATAAGTATCAGCGGACGAATGACCTTAAATGCACCAGCCACTTGGAAACGGTTATTCCAAATTATAAAGTAGGTATATTTGCGAAAATACTGCATGAAACTGTCTGATTCAGATTCAGTTGATAAAGATAGAAGGCTCTTGTGGCCTGTATTAATCCTTGCAAAATATATCTCTGCAGAGATCTAACTTCTCTTTGAAAGCGTTCACCGATGGAGCTGTTACTACTGAATCAGGTAAAGAGTTCCAGTCGTTGACCACTCTGTGAGAGAATCTAAATTCTGCACGTATTTTAATCATCCTCGGTTTGAACACCTTTTTGCGGTGACCCTGTAAATATATCCTAGAAGGGGAGAAGAGTTTAGAAAGGTCAGTTCCTAAATCACCCTTAAGTATACGGTATGCTGAAATTAAGTCGCTTCTGTTCCTTCGGTATGATAACGGAAAGAGATTTAAATGCTCCATCCTCTTCTCATAAGGAAGGTGTGAGATACCACTAACTAATTTCGTTCCTACTCTCTGTACTCTTTCCAGGATATGTGCCTGCTTTTTGAAGCATGGACTTGTACGCAGTATTCTAGATGAGGCCTGACATATGTTGCGTAGAGTATTTGGAACATGCCCTCGTCTAATCGTTTGAAAGCCCTTCGGAGTGCCCATAGCATTCGAAAAGCCTTAGCTGCGGCTGCATTGCAATTTGCAGCTGTTTTCAAATCATTGTTGACAATGATTCCTAGGTCCTTCTGTTCGTTAACATCACGTAGTTTTGTGTCCCCTAGGGAGTACGACGTATAAGACTTCTGACCTAAGTGCATTACCGCGCTTTTCCTAGAATTCATTTCCTAACTTCACAGGTTCGACCACTCAGCTAATTTATCTAGATCAGTTTGTAGGGCCGACCTATCCTCGTTATTATTTACAATTTTCCATATCTTAATGTCATCAGCAAATAACAATGAAGATGAAGTAAGAATCCCCGGTAGCTCATTAACGTATAATAGGAATAGCAAGGGGCCTAATACAGTTCCCTGAGGCACTCCACTGGATACTGCTTTCCACCCTGATAGTACACCGTTAACTCTAACCTTCTGCCTTCTATCCATTAGGTAATCCCTAAACCACTCACATAGGCATTGGTCTAGTCCGAAACCTTTAAGTTTACTAAGGAGATCTAAGTGGGATACTTTGTCGAATGCCTTGCTAAGATCAATAAAAACCACGTCCAACAGAAGGTTTTTATCTCTGGCCTCGACCCAATCTTCCCTAGCTAACAGTAAGTTTGTCAAGCAAGATCGTCCTGGTCGGAATCCATACTGTTCAACTGCTAGTAAGCCATGTGTTTCAACATAAGCTAATAGCTGATCCATTATAATACTTTCCATTACCTTTGCTATAATGCATGCCAGACTTACCGGCCTGTAGTTAGATACCGATTGCCTGTCCCCCTCTTTGAAGATAGGGCTTATAACGGCATCCTTCCAGTCCCTGGGTAGCTTAGCCTGGGTCAGTGACATTTGGAAAATCTCCGCAAGCGGAATATATATTATATCCGCCAAGGAAATTAACAGTTTAGGGTGAAGTCCATCAGGCCCAGGTGATTTACCTGGCTTCAGTTTAGACAGTAGTTTGAGGACTTTTGTGTGCTCTACCACAATTGAGGGCATCTGAGTGGCGATGGCAGTGACCTCACCATATTCCTGGGTGGTACTATCAGACGAGGAGACGTCACAAAAGTATTCAGAGAGGTTTTCAGCCTTTCCTTCGTTTGACTCAGCCGTTTCTCCACTAATGCTTATGAGTGACGGTATACCATTGCTAGTTTTGGTCCTACGTTTTATATACGAGAAGAGCCTTTTTGGGTAGTGAACACAATCTAGTACAAGCCGTCTCTCGTTAATCGCATACTTACAGAGATTTCGAGGAACCTTTCTCTGAATTATGACAAAAATGCCTCTCACATTTGGATTGGAGTTTCAACAGAGTAATAACACCACATCCTATACATGTATTCATCTAGGTCTTCTAATCACTCCAACAATAATCTTGATATAAGTATAAAACTTGGGCACTGTGGTAGAGTATAACTCCATTATGAATAAGATTTTATTTTTATAAATCCCACAGTGTTATACAGTAATATTAACTGATGACATTTCGAGCACAAAGTATTGCTCATAATCATATCAACTTGGTATGATATGAAACGTCATCATTAAATATTACTGTATAACACTGTGATTTATCAAAATAAAATCTTATCCATAATGGAGTAACAATAATCTTCCCTTGACCTAATTGAACGCGGAACTATCTATAAAATAACCCTAATCTAACCTAATAATTATTAGGTTACCCTAGTCCTAACAAGGATCTGACCTAATTTTAGGTTAGGCTAAGATTAATCTTAACCAGACCTTCCCCAAATCTAATGAAAGCTTACCAGATACGCCACTTGATG